TTTAGCCTGAGATTCGATGGCCACAACCACAACACATGACACACATATGGTGAACTCTTAGGAGAGACCATGGGGGAGGAGCCTTGCCCTCGAAGTTATTAGAGGGGCATCTCATCTCATCTCCTCTCCTCTCCTCTTCCTGTCGTTGCGCCGGCGGCCCCTTTTCGCGTTTGCTAGATGCCTCACGGAAGACAGACTGGTGTAGACGCATTAGCGGCCGTCCTCCTCTCCCCTCCTTCGGAGGGGATATATTCCTTCCCTCATGCCCTGCTTTGCTTTATTGAGTTGAGTTGCGGTGCCAAAAAGAGTTGTTTGTTGTGTTGTTTAACCTTGCTGCATGATTTTTTTTTACACAATCATCTTAAGCACGCACTCCAGGAGCACAATATCTCCGATTATTCCGCCGTGCACTGCACTTGCTGGTCATTTTTTTCCCTGTAAAAAAAGAACTAGTATATGTGGGTAATGATCTGACAGGCGATCTCAAAATTATACTTCTATTCCTACGTAACATATCCAACCCTTCTTGGTTCAGGGTTTTCCGTTTCCGAAGACTAGTAAAATAGGCGGATTCTGGAACTCCTGGCATGAAATTAGGAGTGACAGTTAGGGAAGGTTCTGGTTTTCAACGTCGCTTAATTAGTTTTTTTTTAAACAGGTACTCCCTCCGTCCCAAAATAAGTGTATCAAGCTTAGTGCAACTTTGTACTAGAGCTAGTACAAAGTTGAGACAGTTATTTTGGGACGGAGGGAGTATATTCAACCAAATCAACCCATCTTAACTGAAGGAATTCGCTACGAATCTCATGTCAAACTTTTAAGCATGACAAATCTGACGGCCGGGATGGCAATTACGTTGTCATGAGCATGACAATTAATTTCCTTCAACAAGCATGTCATGCTTAAGAATTTGATGTCAGGTTGTTAACATTTCCAAAATTAAACTCTACTTATTTCTGGCATGCATGCATCCAATTTATTCTTTTTTGTCAGCGGAGGAAGCAGCAGGAGCCAAGATTCTATCTATCTCAAGTGCCACTTGGCAATTCAGACCAACTGAACAGCTTCCTTTGTCCTGGTAAGTGAGTGAGTCTTCCACAAGTCTCCTACCAAGCAGCAGATTACATGCATGCATGCATGCACATCTACTTTTCCGCTCTTGTGTATAAGACTGAAAGACTAACACGAGTGCTGTCTGTCTGTCCATCTGTCTGTGTTGGTAACTGTTCAGCTTCAGGGTTACGACGGAATCAATAATGGACATGTATGTGTCAGGCAGCAAGTAGGCGTGACTCTTGCTAGACTTGCGGCGCATGCTCACACATGTGCAACTTAACCCTAGTTAATGTGAATCCGCAGTTGACTTCAAAAATAGGTGAGTCTTTCGGTTCTCGAACATTTCGTTTGTTCGAATTCATATGCCGGAACATGAAGAACTAACAAAGTCTTCTCTAGCTTCTACTACCATCTTAAGACTGGTGGAAAATACATTCCACACATTCAAATATCTCGCCGACATCCTTCCCTTCCGCTTCCTCTTCTTCGAAACCAGAGACCCCTTCATGTTGAGACCTCAGCTCTTTCCTGTGAAAATCCTGCAAAATTTCAAACTTATGTTGGGAACATTGCGGTGAAAGTGTCTTTTTGTTAGGTAATATACAAGTGTGCGTGTCCATGAACTTCATAGCTCTTTCTTAACATAAAAGAACACTATGTTATATTAGAAAAAGTGGGAAGAGGAAGAAAAGTCCCACAGTCTGAACCGAATCCCACTCTCCGAGGAGGCTTCACCAAGACACACCCTCCTCTTTAGATTTTTCCTTTAGTTTAGCCTCTCTCTCTCTCTCTCTCAGAAAGGCGCCGGTCTTTAGCTCTTTCCAGGGGCGGCACTCCTTGTGTTGGTGCCCACAAGCTTGATGCTACCGCTCTGTTCAGTGCTCACTCCTTGTTGTGTAGGTGAGGCTTTCAGGATCCGATTCCCCGGGTCTTTGAGCTTTCAGGTCCTGTTGCAGATCAAAATGGCTTGGTTCCACTTTGTGATCTTGGTGATTCATTCATTCACTCATGGCGCTTTAACCGCTTCGCCCGTGCGCCGAACAAAAGCGCGCGCCTATGGGTTTTTAATAATGGTAGGAGATGGGTGCATTGCATATTTGCATGGGGAATAAGTAAAGCAGGTCTTAGTCTTTGCAACTGATGGATTGGTTTAGAACTGCCTAACCATGGGGTTACTGGTTAGGCTGTTCTTGTAGTGGTTGCAGAATTGCAATTTTGTTGGGTGCCTGAGGAATGAGTTTTCATCATGAAAACAAATGATGCATTCAGTCAGTGCTCAGCAGCTATTGGTACCTTTTATAGCTAGCACAGAATTACCGCAGATTCATCATCTGTGCAGAGTGGAGGCCTCAACTTGAGAACCAGCATCTGAATCTTCAAGCCATATATTTCAGCTTCGCATGAAGTGTTAAATTTCCCCTGATGCTCATGGATCAGTCCTCCACAAGCCTAACTCTGATCTTTTCATCCTCATTTTAGGTGACATCTTGAACAGAACAACTCCACATTTCACCTCCTCATATCCGATAACGTGTCGACTGTAATTCTTCTTCTTGAGACGATGCGAAATTGCGCGAATCTGACAATAAGACAAAGCCTGAATGAGAGAGCTCGGCACCTTAGGGACAGCCATAACCTTATCTGTGTATTCAATCAGTCCTGCAGATAGCATCAGGGGAGCGGCAGCAGCATAAGCATATTGGACTGTACCCTCGCAACATTGTCCCAACGTGGACGAATTTGGGACTGCAATTAGCAGCACAGGTGCTGATGACAGGAGATGCCTGGTGCCATTGGGGTAAAGCACGGCAGCTTTACGCTGCGATTGCCATCGGAACAAAACACGCGATTCGGTTCATGTTGCAGCGAGAAATTCCATCTTGATAACCAACTAATGCCTGTCGATCACCCGCGCTGCTGCGCAAACAACGGTAGGGGCTCACTTATCTGCTCCAGAGAAGATTCGCGGACGAGACTTGTTATTTCTCCAACCCTGAGGAATAGATAGATAAATATGATGAGCAATGAAGCATTCATTCTTTGAGCATGGATGGCACACGTGCGGTCCATACCCGCCCTAGTACATACCCAGAACTTCAGATCATGGCAAGGTAATTATCAGCTATACATTGACAGCTAGGGGTCAGTCCTCATTACTAATCTTCTTGTGACTGCATTTGAAGAAGATGCTTACAATGCTGATTGTTTCCCTTTTCATCTGACAGAAGGAAGCAACAAGGAAATTGCTGGCATCAGGGTTAGCAGTTAACAATGTTAAGATGCTGCAAGTATTAAATGGGTAGACAGATTTTTATGTTATTTATTTTCACCTGAGAGAAGGAAGCAGCCGAGAAATCGGCGGCGCCTGAGTTAACAATGTCAAGATGCTGCAACCTGCAACTTCAAGTATGAAATGAGTAACATATACCCAATTGCTAAGTTGAGACTTCAGAATAAGAATGACAGCATATGCATACGAGGTATACCACGCAAATCCAATCAAGCAGTGGATAACAAATTGTGTAGATGAAACCATCAACACTCATGAAAGATCCTTTCGCTCGGCGAACTTTGGAGATCATACGATGCAAACCAAAATCTCGCAAACAAACAAACAAACAAAAATATGTCTGCTGCTTTATGTTGTGCCACTAACATCCATGGCCGCTTTATTCTCGGTCTTGCTGCATTCCACAATTGTCAACTTGTAAATGTTCTCTGTCCCAAGTACAATATCAAAAAGGCGATTATTGTTCTTAAACATGCATTTCTCATGCAATGCTACTTTCCAGGTGTCTGGAGGTTCCTGAAGGAGAGAGCTTTCTCAAGGCATCGGATTACCGAGATCTAAAATTATGATATTCTATTTTGTTTTCACTGTACCTCACCTCACCACTCATGCATTAGCATCTTCTTGTCTAGTTTTAAGAATAAATATAACAATTTGTTTTGTTGATATCATGGAAGTTGGACTAGATAAAAAGTTAACTGATAACTAAAGATACAACCGTGCGGCAGCAATTTGCCCGAGAAAGTTTTCTAAATTTATACAGCATATGCGCTATCGATTTCTTTTAACTGAAATGTACAAAAGTGTTATATCAAGATCTTCATTGATCTGGACCAAAGGCAAAGTTTGTCTAAAAGCCAGTGTTCCTAACAATTTCAGAACTTTCAGGGAAAATGATACACTGCAAAACCAAAGCTTCTGATCATGTATGATGCCTAACATAAATTTACCTACAGAAAATACCTTCATTGCTAGTACAGTGAGCTACATTTAGTCGAACAGAGCAAATATGGTATTACAGAGTATATGTAGCCTGCTAGCTTGTAATTCAATCAAAAAAGAGTCCCATGTGAATAAAAATGAGGAAAATGGACAAGTAGTGCAATACACAAATCTTCTATAATCCGCCCGTATGTAGATAAAACTTCTAAATTACTAGCAACTTTTTTTTAAGAACTCTTTGATTCAAGTTCAAGAAAATTTGATCATATTGGCTTGCTGTCAATTTGGCGGATCCTGGAAGATTTGAATGCCTTGATCTTTTTGACTAAATGCATATTGTTTTCCCAGTCGATCACCACCAACAGAGCTGAATATTATTTCTTCACTTTTTTTTACTGTATGCCTCATTTCACATTGAACCAATAGCGAACCAATAGCGAGATAAATGGGCCGAATAGCGGCTTTGATGGAACATTTGAAACACCATAACCATATTTTGATTCCACATGAAAATAGTAACATGAGTACTAAAAATACATTGATACTGTACCAGACCTTGCAGCCTGCCAAACAATCTACTCAAAACAAGTGACATGATCAGCAGAACATCCATCAAGGTGGCGGCGAAATGCTTAGCGAGTAATTTGATCGTCGCAGCAGAAACATTTGTTAGGATCATTAGTCCTAACTAACCTACCGACTTGTGTTCATCATGGCAGCTCCTTCAGCACCTCCATGCCGACACCGACACCAGCTCGGCGCGCTGCCAATGCAGGACCAGCGACCCGGCGCGCTTCTCCACGCGGAAGCCCCTCACCGGCACCTTCTTCAGGAGCGAGTCGGCCTGCGCCTCGGCGAAGTTGCTTATGTGCACCGGCACGAACCCGGCCGAGGTGAACATTGTCCGCCATGGCAGCAGCTTGTCGCCGGCGGCCGCGGCCTGGTGCCTCCTGATCACGCAGCTCTCGATCTTTGGCTGGATCAGGAAGCGCTCGATCTTGCTCGCGACGTCGGGCTCGGTGCCCACGGCGTCCAGGGACTCGAGCAGGAACGCGCAGGACTGGAATGCCTGGAGCAGGTGCGCCGCGAACGGCAGCTCGCCGCGGTCACCACTGCGGTCCACCGAGATGACAAGCTTGGCGCCGAGCCGCCTGACCAGGTGAAGGACCGATGGCACCGCGGCGGCGTGAACCGAGCCGACGGGAAGGTGCACGGCGATGGCGTCGCCGCCGGCAATTGCGAGGAGCTCCGTGGGGTCGACGGAGTCGAGGTTGAACACGACGAACTGGAAGGGCACCCCGAGCTCGGCGGCGAAGTTGGCGAGGTTCTCGTGGATGAGCTGCAGCTCCAGCGGGTGGTGCGTCGACGGCAGCACCAATGCGGTCACCTTGAGCGCGGCGCCGGGGCGGCGCTGCGCCAGCTCCTGCATCAGCGACGCCCACTGCTCGCCGACGCCGATGTCGAAGTCGAGCACGTGGATGCAGCCGGCGCCGCCGAGCTCGTCGAGCACGGCCTGCACGCAGGTGAAGTGCGCGAACTGGAGCACCGGGGAGAGCTCGGAGAAGGCCTTGTAGGCGCCGAGCTTTAGGAGGACGTCGACGGGCGTGGACGCCACGGCCGCCGACGAGGCGTGGGCGCCGGTGGTGTCGAGGGCAACGCTCAGAGCCTCCTTGAAGTAGAAGGCGGAGCGGAGGAGCGGCGTCCCGGCCGCTGGGGCGGCGGGGAGCCGGTGATTGAGCCGTGCCAATATCTCGCGCGCGCCGTAGGCGTCGCCGGCCTCGACGAGCCTGGCCGCCTCGGTGAGCTGGTCCACCGCCGCCGCGGCCGCGCCGTCGTCGGCCGGCGCCTCCGCCTTGGGCTTCAGGGCGGCCGCAGCGCCGTGGCCGGCGAAGGGGGCCAGCTTGGGCGGCGCCGCGCCGGCCATCGGGTGCCGCTTCGCCGGCGCCGGCGCGTCGAAGGAAGGGAACGCGCCGCCGTGGAACGCGTGCGGCAGGTGGTGCTGCTGCTGATGCAGGGCGGCGCCCGGCGAGGGGCGGAACTGCTGCTTGGCGTCCTCGCCGGCGAGCGTGAACGGGAGGCCGTGGCCCGCGCCCCCCATGAGCGGCGGGTGGCGGGGGAGCATGGTGATGCGGTCGAGGTCAAGATCCGGGGGGTCGGCGCCGTCCATGGCGGGCCCGGAGCCGTCGTCGTCGTCGTCGTCGTCCCCGCCGCCGATGATCCAGCGGAGGAAGGTGCTGTCCTGCGAGGAGGGCGGCGGGTGCGGGTGGCCCTGGCCCTGGTCCTGCATCGCGGCGGCGTGGGGGTCGCCCCAGCCGGCCATGTCGAGGGGCGGCAGGTGGTGCACCCAGTCGTCCTTGGCGTCGTCGTCCGGTGGCGGCGGCCATGCCTGCGCCTGCGCCTGCGCCGGCGGGGCCGCGGACACGTTCTTGGCGAGGGCCGCCACGCCGGCGGGCAGGGACGAGGGGGAAGACAGCGTGGGATGCGCGGCGGGGCTGGCCCGGCGGTCGAGCACCGACGCCGGGTCCCACAGGCCTCCTCCTCCGCCGCCGCAGGCGAGCTGCTGCTGCTGGTGCTGGTGCTGGTACTGTCGCCGGTCGCCGTGCGCGTGGGCGGGCGGGAGCAGCTGGAATGTCGTGAGCTGCTGCGTGGGCATCGATCCCCCTCCCGCACGAGCTCCCTCACCTCACCTCACCGCCATCGCCGCGCCACAGCAGCAGCAAGAGGAAGAAGAAGAGCTCCGAGTGATCTGCTTCTCTTGCAGTCGGAAAGTAAGACGGCTTAGCGGGAGCGGCGGGGGGCCATTGGGAGGAGGAGGAGGAGCAATGGCGGGGTGGGGGTGGAGAGGGAGGGGGGAGCAGTGAGCGTCAGTTTTATTCGTTGGGGGGGCGTCCGTGTCACGTTGCGGAATGGTGGTAGCGTGCAACGTGAAAAAGGCACCCAGAGCAAAGCAGGCAGCCTTCCTTCTTCCCCCTTCCCCTTGGCCGGCCCCTCCCGACCGATGGATCAATCGTCGACCTGGCGCCACCTTTCCTGCCTTTCTTCTACCTCACACGACGACACTGGCCATAGGCTGCTTTTCTCCCGCACACGCTTGGCTCGCCCGACCACTCCATTGGCCGTTAAGCTTGTCGTAAAGGAGGACGTACACGTGTCCGCGTGTGCGCGAGCATCGAGACGACGCCGTCGATGTGAGATGTAGCTTATCTTTGCCGTGTCGAGACACGATTAATCTCCGAGGTTGTTGCTGGTTTTGTTTGACCGCTGTGATACCATGGACGTGTTTGGATGAAGACGGACCGGTGATGGGGAAACCGCCTGGTCCGAAAAAAATGGATCGCCCATGCGTCGTCCCATGTCGATCGAGTGCTTTCATCAGGAAAGCGCTACCGCTCGGCCAACGTGCGCAACCGCCTCCTTCCTCTGGCCATCGTTGTCGGGGAGGGGGGGGGGGGGGGAGGATCGGCGGTGGGGCCTCTGTCTTCGCTGACTTCAACTGCCCCCCCCTCCCTCACGACTAATAGTTATAGGTAAATTAGATCCTTCCACCAGCTCATGTGGGATTCATCTAAGACATCCATCCAAGATCCGACGTATCTCATTAGTTTATCACACTAACAAGTGTTTTGTTTGTAGTCTTTCCCGGTGTACCCCTCTATCAAACATCTCTACCCCTCCCATCGACGGAGATCAAAGGTGATGCGATAGTGTTTGGAAGCTGGACAACGAGGTCATCTACCTACTTCTGACGCTTTCTCTAGCTACGTAAGTAGGCCTCGTGATCTCACAACGTTGGGATCCAGCTTGCGAGACGTCGGTAGCTGGTAGAATGACTACTGGTAATGACGGCTTTGACGACAGGTATGTGCATACTCCAAATGAAAACCCATGATCTTGCCTCTCTGGCTTGATCAGGCAATGTCGACGTGTGTGTTTTGTTGAACGTGTTGGCTCGAAGCTCGACTTCGGGATGAAAAATATAAAGTTCAACCTTTGGTTGGGCCCGTCAGTATCGGCTTACGTGCGGTGGTCCCTTCCTAAAGGTTTTGCCTAGGAATGTTGTGCTTGTTCGTTGTTTGTTCGCATGCCATGGTAAGAAAGAGCATGCTAAAATTTGTGTAAGGTTTTTGAAGACACTGTCGCGAGGCAGACCTGTTCTCGACGGCCGTGTGTTTTCTTCATTTATTTTCTGCAAGAAGATTTGTTTGGCATTGATGCTCGGCTTTGCTTGGCATTGTTGAATAATCAATGAAATATTAGATGTCGGGGTTGGTCATGTTAAACGAACCAAACGCGACTGATGGACTTATTGGCACGTATGTGGTGTTAGGATGCGCTTCTTTCTACATCTCTACTATCAATAGCACTTCCGAGTTGGGACGCGGAGGAATTGATCCCGGGCATCAGTGATCCCGGATGAACAGTAAAATCCGAAAAAATAGTAAAAAAATTCAAAAAAATCTGAATTTTTTTGTCAAGAAACTTTGATGTTTTTTCTACATGCGTGCCAATTTTCGTGATGAAATGATATTTGTGGAGGTGTCAGCAAAAAAAACAAAATCATGCTCCAAAAAAACTGTTTTTGGAAGCATTTTCGAGCATCGATTTTGTTTTTTTTGCTGAGACCTGCATGAATGTCATTTTGTCATGAAAATTTGTACGCATGTGAAAAACATGTCAATGTTTGTTGCCAAAAGAATTCAGATTTTTTTAAACTTTTTAAATATTTTTTTGTTTGTACTGTAGCAAAGGGTGCCTGTGAGCTCGAGCTCACAATAGCACTTTCGAGTTGAAGGTCTTTAGCTTAGCTTAGTTCTCAGGCAGTCAGGCGTACTTACCGCCGATCCTTTTCAGCTCAAAATATAGTTGGTCGTCTAGTTTGTTTCCAACCCTAACAACTAGTCAACCCTAACAAACTAGTCCGTGAATAAGGGGTCGGGCCCCATGTACCAATCACATGATATAGATCGACGATAAGCCCTCCAAAGCCACCAGACAGCGCTACGACCTCCCTGCCATGGTCGGTCCGGCACCACGGACACGGGTGCCCGGGCCATCCCTGTCATGATCAATTTCTTAACCTACAACTTATGTTTAGTCTATTTTGACTATCCGCGACAAACTTATATAATAGTACCGGGTTACACATGTCCTACTCAAAAACATAACCCTCCATGTAGTCGAAGTCTAATTATAGCCCAATACACATATTCGACATAGTTTTAACACTCCACCTTGGCGAATATGTCTTCACCATCCTGAAGTCGTCATCTTTGCGTGAACACCCATGTATGATTAGACTTGGGTCTTCTCCTGTTTGCTCACGAGCCGGCCCCTAAACCCTCCACCTTGGACTTGGTTGCCTGGACTGATATGATCGCCATGTGTGTCTCCGTCAGCTACACCTTCAACGAAGCTTGCTCGCATCTTGTATAAATTGTTCTTGGTCCTCCTTACCTTCATCATGAGTTTCTTGCCCTTCTTGATCCTCATGGTCTTCTTGTCCCTGTCCACCTTCTAGACATAACCGCTACTTATGATAAATGGGATTCCCCGAAGAGGAAGGGTGATGTAGTATAGTAGCAGATAGTATTTCTCTCGGTTAAGAACCAATGTTTATCGAACCAGAAGGAGACGACACACAAACAACATCAACAGTACCTGCACACACACGAAGCAAATGCTTGCACCCAAGAAATGCAAGGGGGCATCACTCCTCTTGTTGTTGCCAGTTGCAAGTATCAAATCTGGTAGGTATACTAATAAAGGTAAAAATAAAAGTAAAGTAAAACAACAAGTAATTGGAACATAGCTTGATAATAACTGAGAATGGACTCGGGGACCATAGGTTTAGATGCATCTCTCTCATAAATAGCATCGGTGGGTAAACAAATTACTGTTGGACAATTGACAGAATAGCGCATAGTTATGATGATCATCCAAGACATAATCAATGCATAGGCATTACGTCCATGACAAGTAGACCATTAATCCAACTGCATCTACTACATTCACTCCACCCCAAAACCGCTATCCGGCATGCATCTCAAAGTATTAAGTTCAAACAAAGTACGCATTAAGAAAGACGACATAATGTAAACAGAATAAGATCAACTAATATGACCGAACCCCGTCGTTTTATCCTTAGCAGCAACAATAAAATATGTGCCTTATCACCCTTTCCGTCACAGAGTAATTCACCACAAGATTAAACCTACTACCAAGCACCTTTTGCGCTGAATATAAATCAATCTACTTGGCCAAAAAAGATGGATAGATCGGAGAAAAATACAAGGCTATAAAATTACGCAATAGAGGAGATCTCAAATGACTCAAATAATACCAATGGATAATATGATCATAACCCACAATTCATTGGATCCCAACAAACACACCACAAAGATTACATCGGGTTGACCTCAGAGGAGATCATTGTATTCAAGGGAGAGAGAGAGAGAGAGAGAGAGAGAGAGAGAGAGAGAGAGAGAGATCCATCTAGCTACGGCTATGGATCCATAGGTCCTGTAGGAACTACTCATACATCATCATGGAGACAACAAGGTTGATGAAGATTGCCTCCCCAATGGTTTC